CCAAAACAGAGCCGGGCTCCTGCCCCGGGCCCCGGCAGCAGGAGCTGGTTGGTGCTGTGTGCCGGCCGTGCTCTCTGTGCTCTCTCCTTGTCCTGCTCCCACAGCACCGAGCTCGGGGCCGGGGTTTGCTCTGCCCTCCTTTGCCAGGCCTGGGCTCAGAGGCATCCCACACACCCTGTGTCACCTGGATTAGTCTCCTGACATCTCTGCTAAGGCTGCCAAAAGTAAGATTATTGACAAATGCGTGTCCAGGGAAGGACAATGGAGCTGGGAAGGGTCTGGAGCAGCAGGAGGGGCTGAGGGAGCTGGGGGGGCTCAGCCTGGAGAAAAGGAGGCTCAGGGGGGACCTTCTGGCTCTGCAACCCCCTGACAGGAGGGGGGAGCCCGGGGGGGGGTCGGGCTCTGCTCCCAGGGAACAAGGGACAGGAGGAGAGGGAACAGCCTCAGGCTGTGCCAGGGGAGGCTCAGGTTGGACATCAGGAGGAATTTCTCCCTGGAAAGGGTGGTCAGGCCTTGGCAGGGGCTGCCCAGGGAGGTTTGGAGTGCCCAGCCCTGGAGGTGTCCCAGGAAGGCCTGGCCGTGGCACTCAGTGCTCCGGGCTGGGGACAAGGTGGGGATGGGGCACCTCATCAGGGTAGACTCGTTGATCTTGGAGGTCTTTTCCAACCCTAATGGTTCCACAGTTCTGTGATGGTTCTATGATTTCAGTCCATTTGTTTGACAGCAGCAGTCACACTGGTGGTAGGTCTCCCTTCCCAAAGTTTCCATACCACACCATCATTTTGAAGTCCTCTTTCTGAAGTGGTTTTACATTTTGTCCCTAAAGAAGTTTTTTTCTGAAGCTAACCCAAAATGTAGTTGTTTTCAAAGTGTGAGGATAACATGCATAATTGTGACATTTTAAAACCCCTTGTAGCTGGAAAAAAATTCTTGCGTAAATATCTTGTATGTCGGGAGTTTTAAAGTGTAACCTCCATGTGCACTCTGAATGGTGCTTTAGTGGATTCTAAAGCCCACAGAAGATCCCTCTGCTGGCAGTGAGATTTTGGGTTGATGCACAGATCTCTCTGTGGCAATCCATTTGCAAGATCATGACAATTTTCACATATAGAAGTCGAAGTAAACATGGATTACAATATTTAAACTGTAGAAAGTTCTTTCTGAAAATGGGGAATTCACTATCCAGAACCCATATTCCATTCAGGGGAACAATAGTAACAGTTCTAATCAAAATACAGTGTTTTCTCTCCCAGGTACTAAACTAAGCCCCTTAGAAGCACATTTCTGATTTTTTTGCCCCAACTTTTAATGTTAACAGTGGTTTCTGTAAAAATAAGCATTCCCTCAGAGTATTGGCAGCCCAAACAGAGAAGCTGAAACTGAAGGTAAGGATAGTGACCCTATGAGGGTTTTTTTTCTAACTTGAAAAAAATGACTGAAGTAAAGTAGAAATAATGTAGGTTTTTAAGCTGTTGATTCTTGGTGTTGGTAAAAGGGTAAGGAAGGATCTGTATAGCAGGAGATTTAAGTATTGCCTTACTTAAAAAGGCTTAAAAAGGCTTACTTAAAAAGGTTGCAGCTTTTGGAATCTGTGTACTTCAAGTAACTAGCTGGGCTGATTTCCTCATTTCTGGTCACTCACTCTTGGGTGATTAGGTCAGGTTTCACTGGGAGGGGATGGATTTTGAGTGTCAGTGAGGAATATGGGTTTTTTTGGCCATCAGGAGGATATAAGGAGGCAGGTGGGAGAGCAAGTCTCGGGCTGGGAGCAGCACAATAGGAGCTGAAGGGAAGCCAGACTGGCTCAGGGCTTTCTCTTACCTTTTCAACATTAGGAAGATGTCAGGAAATTAACTCTTGAAAGAGTGTACAAGGAGAATCCCACACTGACTGGTATCTCGAGGAGTCCAGGAAAGAGGCAAAAATCGTTGCTGCTTGCAGATCTGGAAAAGTGGGTAAAGCCAAGAAGGTGTTGGAAATGATTTGCCTCAGTCGTGAAAAAGATGTGTCACTTATCAGGAGCTGACAGTGGCAGAGTGTTCCCTCTGTAAAGCTGAGGCAGGAGGGAGGACTGTGCACAGCTCTGCCCTGAAAATGTGTTCATGGTGGAAGTGCTGAAAGTCTGGAGGAGATAAGTCTTCTAAATAATGATGGTTTTATGGATGAGGTCATGCTCTCCTCTCACCAAGGAAGGAGATGGAAAGAACTGGAGTGGAAAGAGTTGGCAAGGTCAGTCTGTCTTGTTGTCACAAGAGTGGCAGGAAGGAGGCCTCCAAACAAACCAGAGCCCCGGGAGTGAGGCAATCACCGTTTCTTCCTGCTCACATCAAATTCCTGTTCCAGGCATTTCCAAATAAGGGTGAGGAACTGAGCGCCACAACCGCAAGATGACAGTGCAAGGCTGTTAAAACCAACACTCCTTTTGCCTTCTTTTTAAAATAATCCATGTCCTGCCATGAATCAAAGTGCCTCTGTAACCTGCCATGCTCCAAAATAGACTGACAGGAACATATACAAATCCTCCTGGAAAAATAAATGACCAGAAAAGCTGTAGCTGGCAATTCCGGGGTAAGAACGATTGGCAAGTTGCACCATTGACTCAACATGATTTTAATCATGGTCTGCTTGTTCATCTCAAGGGAAAAGATGTCACCATGTGTCTCGTGTGCAAGCACAAGGCAGACAAAAAGCACATGGCAAAAGTAGTTTTTGTATAATGGTAACAGTAGAAAACAAACAAGAAAAGAGAACAAGGGGGCAAATTCCCTGGCTAAAATGAGTTAATCTGAGATCAGTGGAGCTTTACTAATCTGCACCAGCAAAACATCTACCACCCTTACCCTGACAACCCTCCCCTTGAGCTTCCCACTATTACAGCAGCGATGAGCTATGGAATAGACCAAACCACTGTGCTGCTGAGGGCAAGGAGGAAAGGGCAGTTTTAGCCTGTCAGACGAGGGCAGTGCTGCCAGGGCGGGAGCAGCTCAGAGTTTGCCAATACTTGAACCCACTTATGCTTTGTAGACACTTCTAAATATTCGGGAAATCTTCAAGTGATGTTTTGTTTTCCAAAGCTATCTGATGGCCTGAATGTCCCTACCCAACAATTAAACCAATAAATTCAGAGGCCAGTCTTTAAAGTTCAGAGCTGCAGATGCTGCCACTGGTGCATTATTCATGGGTTTGGTTTTTCCCTTTGATATCTCTCTATGGTGTGATCTGTATAGCAGAAAAGAGCCCACATCTGTCTGTTTACACCACCCTGGAAATTCCTGTGGGCAACCAAAAAAGTCGACCACAAATAACTGCTGGGCTACCAACAAACATAGTATCTGGAGTGCCTCCACCCACCTGCCATTGGGCAGATTCCTAAATCTCATTGGAAATGGGAAAAATCAGATCAGGGTGGGAGGGAGAAGCAGAGAGAGGGATGGGAGAAAGGACTAGTTTGAAAGACTAACCTGAAATTAGCAGAACTGCTATAGGATTGATTTTTTTTTTTATTTATTTAAAGTAGAGTAAGTCACGTGTGGGCCCTGAGCTGAGCGTCACATCGTGGCACATGACTCGTTGTGGGGTTGGGGTGAACCCTTTAGAGTGGACAGGTTCTTCTGAACTGTGTCTTGTTGAAAGGTGGACAGGAAACATCCTTTAAACCATCTGGAAAATTCATGAACAATTCTCCAGTGGGATGCTGGGAGAGGCTGTATATTCTGGGTTTGCCCAAGCCAGTGGGGCCTCTGGTCATTCTTGCTTTAAGTGTGGGATCTCTTTATGTTACTGTGGGTCTTGGAGAGAGTTACAATTTCCATTGGTTTGGAAAGCTGCTCAGTGCTTCCAGTGATGAATTCCTAACCTAGACCTTCACTCATACAGGTATTACTTTTCATATCCATATACCTGAACTAAAGGGCTTGGGTAATGTTCTCATTATCAATGGAAGTAGTTATGGGCTTAAAAGCAGGCACCCACCAAGCTGGATCTCATCCTATGGCCCTTGCATCCTTGAGAGGTATGGGAATTATTCTGATTTATTAAGCTGATCCTACTCTATGCTGCTTGATTTGCAGTGTTCAGTGAGCTTTGGCTGTTACTTGCCTCTCACTAGTATTCAATCACTGGCTGTTTAACTTGATACGTGAATAAAGAAATAAAGCCAAGGTGCAGATGGTACAAAGATTTCATTGTCCATTAATATTTTTTCAGTCAGGTGTTGCATCTATTTTTGAACCTTTAATTCTTGGTGAGGTAATTTCTTCCTGGTGCAGATCATCTCATGTGCTGGACTGTACCACACCGATGTTGACTTGTCCACTTGGAAGTCTGTTGCTCTTAGAGCTTTTATTTCCTGAATCTGGGGAACAGTTTTCCCCCTTCTAATTGTGTTCAATTTTCTGAGAAATACTTTTTTTTTTTTAATAATTTTGAAAAGTAGCATGTCATAATCATTTTCTATGAGGAGACATTGACACTTGCTAGGATCCTGTGGCCAGGTGGCCACACTGTTCACATCCTTGAAAATGAAAAATAAAAAAATGTGAATGCTTTTTTTTTTTTAATGTAAAGTTTTTTATTCATCTTTCTCTTAAACCAGAAACTTGGAAATTTGATTTTTTTTGTTTTGTTTAGCTTTTAACTACTAAACCCTTTATTTAGCCGACTGAAAGTGTAACCAGATTTTGGGTTGGGGGCCTTTTTGGCTATTCCCGACTCTCTCCCTTGTCCTGTTGCGGAAGATGGCCACAGTTCCTCCGTTCCGTGCAGATCCGAGGTGGTGCTGGGGTCTCTGGCAGGTTCCCAGTGCAGGTCTCAGATGACTTGAGTCCTTCCCGTGGGTCCCTGGGCAGGCTGTTGAGCAATGGCATTCTCTGGTGGCAGTCACCTGTGCAGTGAGCAAACGGAGCGAGCGCCCGCCGCTCTGCTGCGCCGTGAACGCATGGCTGGCCTCGCTGTGTCAACAACCCCGCACGTCCTCATGGGCACAAATGCCAGCAGGGTTCCCAAACTGCACTGACTGAGAAACCGGTTGTTTTATTACTTGTTTCTACCTTGAGTGGTGAGATTAAATTGAATTTAAAAGACTAGCATAAGAGGAGAAGGCATACAGGTAAGCACAGAGTGATTGTTTATGTGTTCGTTGTAAATGTGTTCATTTTGAGGCTGGGGGCTGGAAAGGGAGACCAGCAGAGGACAGTGAATTGCATTTAGATCTTTTCTTTTCCCACTGACTAAGGGAAGGTTGCTCATGAAGATAACTTTCTCATCAATAACTTTTGCCAGCCTGTGACACACGTTACTGATCCTTCTCAGATCTGCGCCCAAGCAGAGTGTTTGTGCAACGAGATGTTGAGTAACACTCTCCTGAAAACTGGGAGACCTTTGATTATGCAGTGTACTGTGAAGTCAGTAGTGTAATGAGTCTTTTTTTAATTTTTTTCCCCTCCCTTTTCAAAACACGTGAATAAATGTTTTGTAAAGCTCTGAAAGCTCCTTGTCACTCTAGGCCCTTGTAAATAGAGACTCTCTTTCTCACAGGCTCCCTTCAGGCCCTGGAAGGCCACAATTCAGTCACCCCAAAGCTTCTCTTTCCAGGCTGAACAATCCCAACTCTCCCAGCCTTTCCTCCCAGCAGAGCTGCTCCATCCCTCTGATCATCTTGGGGCCTCCTCTGGACTGGCTCCAACATCTCCATGTCCTTGCTGTGCTGTTCCCCAGGGCTGGAGCAGCTCTGCAGGGGGGTCTCACCTGAGGGGCAGAGGGGCAGAATCACCTCCCTGCCCTGCTGCCCACGCTGGGGGATCAGCCCAGCACACGGGGGGTCTGGGATGGGGCATGTCCAGCCTGTCACCCACCAGCACCCCAAAATCCTTCTCAGGGCTGCTTTGGATGAGACTGTCCTGAGATAAATTTAATGGCCACCGGGTGGGTTGGGACCTCCGAGAGGGAGAAGCCCAGCATTCCTGCCTGGATCCCACGAGGGTGGAGGTGGCAGCACTGGCTGCTGGGAACAGAGCACAGATCCCAGTGTGCTTTTCAGGGTTTCCCAGTATTATTCAGTGTGGATGAATGACCACCCTTTGCTTTGTCATCAGGGAATATTTATGACCGTCGGAGCAGGGCTGGGTTCCTGGAGACGGGATAACACGTGGCTTTGTGCTGCCAGACAGAGAGTTCCTTTCGGTGGTCACACCAATGTTTTTTCATACTCCCACGGACACCACAACTTTTTTGGATAAGGAAGAAGATGATGGAACACAGATGAGGGAAAGAAATGGCCTCAGAGAACTTGGATACGTGGGGGTATTTTTACCCTTTGGGGTTTTTTCTTCCTGAATTTCAATGAGTGACTTATTGGAAACTTCTTTGGGTTTGAAGTGCTTTTTTTTTCTTGTTCCACACACACAAAACTGTTTTGGGTTGTTTTGTTTGTCTTCATTTATAATGCAGCTGAGATAGGGTGACTTGATATTTTTAAAATAGAAAACTGATGCCTTCTGAGGGAATGGGGGGAAGAGAGGAGGATTTTACTAGCTGGAAGCATGGGTCATGCCAAGGACAGCTTGTTGCTGTGAAGGGTGTGCTGGAGATGAGGGGGAGGATTATGTGGAAGCTGGTATGGAGAGAAGAGCAGTGCTCTTTCTCCTTGAGTGCCAAATCCACTGATAGTTCTCTTCCTCCACCACAGTCACATATCTCCTTTTATTTATTACCCTTATTTTTACCTCTTTCTTTTAAGGCAAATTCTAGATTAAACTTTTCCAACCCATGACATTAGTGACTATCAGGCACTGAATGCCAAGCAGATGCCTTCTGTTTCCCTCACTGCAATCTGCTGTCATTCCATAAAAACAAACCTAAAAGAGAAAAATATCCTGTCTTATTGGTGAGGTAATAAAGTGAATGGCATTATAAATTCCATGCTGTGAATTGCTAAGCTGGAGAACCCTCACAGAAAATGCTCAGCATCTTGTCCTTTCTTGTTTTGATCAGTACTGGAACCTGTGAGGCACTGGGAGCTTAGGAGCATCTTTTGGAGCCTGCTACAGGCTGGAGGCTGTCAGAGAAAGAAGTTGCCAGTGAGTTGTCCAGCGTGTTGTGGAGCAGGAGGATGATTTGCCAATGACTGAGTGTATTCCAGGGATTCCCGATCCAATGGTCAGGGTGAGTCTCCACACAAGGCCTGTTGCTTCCTCCTTGTGCCTGTTGGGAAAAGCACGGTCCTGTTTTCTGTGTTGGGCAGTTCAGGTCATGAACACCATGAGTAAGGTATTCCTTTCAAAACCATCACCCCTGGGAGAACGTCACAGTTGGAAAGGAATATTTCCTCAGCATTTCTATGTCTATAATAAAAAGAATGTGCAAATGTTAATATTGACAAGTGATCGCTGTAGAGTCTCTTCGATGGTAATAATCTTTTCCTTCTCTGCTGTCATGGCCATTCCACAGCTCCCTGAGTTTTCTATGGGAACTATTCCGACTGGAGACAGGGAATAGAAATTAATGAAATAAATTCTGTTCTAAGATTACTGAATAACATATTTCCACTGGTGCTGGTGGGGTTCAAACACAAATTTTTGCTGGCTCCTGCTGGGAGACTGAGAGAGAAGGAGAAGGTGGCATAGATTTTACATATCCATTATCACCTAATTTTGATTTTGTTGTTCCAAAAAAAGTTGAGATTTCACATCTTTTGAGAAGTTTAGCAAAGGTACACTTTGTGCACAGGCACTTCAAACATCAGCAGATGCTGAGAGCGCCAGGAAATAATGTTGGACAGGGCACTATTACAGTCATTCTTTCTACCACTTCCTCTCAAACTGATGTAAACAGTCCTTTCCCTTGGGAAAGGGAGAGCGCTGAGCTCGAGTGATCAATATGTGGTTTTGCTGTGGTTACTCGGGAAACTTCATCCCTGAAATCTTTTTTAATCACAAGTTTTCTGGCATCATTTGACAGGATCCAGCTTTTCACTTCTGATCTACTGTAAGTTATGGAATCTGGCAAATAGGCACAAATCTGGATGAGCTGGTTTATGGAACAATAAACACAGGTATGCGTGTTTGTGAAAATTAAGACATTTTTAAAAGATAAATAATGACTGTTTTTAAAATAGTGATTAATTTTAGATTTTTAGATGTGCTATGGACTTCCATATTCATTTATTGCTCTATACAAACATTTTTCATGTTTGGTTTTTCCCTCAGCATTTTAGCAGATGTATGGAGGCTGGATTTGATGGCTTCTGGCACATCAGGATCTCACTCAGGAAGCCCCTGAGCGAGGCAGCGCCGTGTGAACACGAGGTGCAGCAGCTGTTTGATGGTGATCAGTGCCAGACACACTGGTGTGCAGTTGCTGGGCTGTATTTGTGCTGTGTGCTCTGCAGCTGCACACACATCACGGGGGAGGCTGTGGAGGGCACACGGCCGGGGTTTATTTCCCCCGACACAGTAACAGGAGCAGTAACAGCCGGCTGGGTTTGCCTGCATCCCTCCCATACAGGCTTTCATTTTCCATGTTCTCAGCTATCCCAAATTAAAGGTGAAAGCTCTGGGGTTTTTTTCCCTGGAATTGAAGTCCTGCTAAGATCTATTTGCAGAGATCCCTCCGGGAGCCCCCGCAACTCGTTCCTGCAGTGGGGGTTGCTGGGTGCCAGGTGAGTGTGGGTTCCCAGACCACCCTGGGAAGGGCTCCTGAACCACAGGTACCTTCCAGACACCACTGCCCAGGTGAGACTTGCCCACCACACTGCCAGATTTGCAGGCTTGGCAGACAGATGGCGAGGCATGTTGTGTTCAGGGGAGGTGGGGGGTCTGTGGGGTTGTGTTCGTGGGACTGGGAGGGGGGCTCTCAGTGCTGGGAGCGTGGTGGGAGGTGCTCCTGGGCCTCCATCCACGTCTGAGGGGGGGTTAGGGCTAGTGAGACCGAACATGGGGCTTGTTGGAGGTAAGAGCTGGTGTTTTCTAATGGTATTGGGAGCAATTTTAATGGCGAGTGCAAACACTGTATACAGGTACAAAATAATAACACCAGTTGGAAGGCACAATAGCCTTGTGGTTCCCACAATGGATAGAGATCAGGAGTTCTTGAATCAGTTTTTGGCTTTGCCACAGGCTTCCTGTATTACTTTTCAGGCAGTCACTTAATCTTTGCATCCGCCGTCTGTGAAACAGCCAGGCTTGGAACAGTTAGGCTTTGGAAGTATGTGTCTAATTCAGCTGTTATTATGGAAGTTAAATATTAAGGACCTGTTACGTTATCATAGGATAAAACCACGTCACATCTATTTTCACTGTGAGCTTTGTTCTTTTGCTGTTACGTTGTTTTTCAGGAAAAACAACATTTTCACTGCATAAAAATAAGCAGAAATTCACGATGCATGACATGAGAGCTGTATTTGTGGACTCCATGTCTGACACTAAAATACGAGGCTCATGTTAAATGCCCCTGGGAAGACTTCAGAGCTGATTGTTCAGTAAAATGAAGCACGGGTCTGGGCATTCATTGAAAGTAAACAAATGATAAAAGACTTTGTAGAGATCAGCTCCCCAAAGCTGTTTGGAAAGTTCCATAGCCTGTGTCTATGGAACAGGGTTTGTTGACAGGGATGCTGCTCTGAGCCCGTTGTTCAAATTTCCACCAATATTATGTGTCAGAGAAGGAAATAACTTAGATAAGATCAATTTTCAAACATGTTTCTTCAGGAAGGAACTAAAGAGCACTCCTGAAAACTACCTCCTGGAATGTAAAAATTCTGATCTTCGGGAAAGTAAAGGAACTGCTGTGGGAGATGAAAAATGTCAATATATTTGGAGAACAGGTGAGTTTGTTTGCCAAGCTTGGCTCATTTGCAAACTCCAAGTGTGTCTTTGTCTGTGCCCGGTGAGTTTGTGAGGAGGTGCCCCCAGCTGTGGGCAGCACTGGTGAATGTCACCGTGATTGACACTCCTCACAGGGTGGAACATGGGAGCTCCCTGTGGTGCCTGGCAATTTGTCCGCGTGGGGGGAGGATGACAGAGACTTCTGAAAAGGATGGGTTTAACTCTGTCTGTCAGTGTTCACTGATGCTGTGGGAAGTGGTAATTAGCTGGCTGAAGTGTGGAGGGGTACATCTCCCCTGCGGGTGCTCTGCAGCACAGTCCCACACACCCAGAGGAGCAGTGATGCCATGGGGCTGTACATGTGCCCTTCAAAACCAGCAGTTCCCTGAGCCCACCCTGTGAGTGTCCTTGTTCTAACTGTGGAGAAATTTCACACATAAAGGCAGCTTCTGAGGAGTGGAACCCTGAGAGCCACGTCTCACCCCTCCCCAGCCCTAAGAAAGCAGCACGGGTGTAATAATGACCCATAGGCTTTTACAGAATTCCAAATACTTCACCTGTGTTGTGTCTACTTTGTCACGTGCACTGATGTGTCATCCCTGAAATATCCTGCCTCAGCTATGTCAGCTTGCACTCTGGAATTTTCTGGGGTGAAATACTTGTTAGGAAAAGGCATGACCTTTTTTTCTCCGCTGAGTATTTAATATGCTCCACAGGCTATTTCAGACTGGTGGTGAACAACTCGAGAGTCATGTTTTGGTGAACTTCTGCTCCAAGACCTATAAGGTAGGACTCTTTCCAAGAACTCCAGTAAGCGTGCCTAGAACCTCCAAATCAGGGAGGTATTCAGTTGGAAAATCACTAACCTTTACTGGAAAAATCATAATTCATATTCTTTGGATGGCCTTTTGTAAGTTACAAGCCTCAAAACCAAAGAGCCCCTGCAGCTGCTGAAAGAGCTGCACATCTGCCTGGTTGGGCTCTCGGATGGTTTGGCACAGCTCAGGCAACACAGAGCTTTGCTCCAAGGCATCTCTGTGCCCCTGCCCTGTCTGCTGGGACACATGGGCTTGGTGATGTTTTAAACCTACCCTGAATTACCCGTGTGCCTTGCTGCAGTAGCATCTTCCACAACATCTGCTGGGCTCCTTCTGCGAGCAGAGGTGGTATCTGGTGTCCCTGGGGTTGATCAGCAGACCTGACTGCTTCCTGGATCACTCTGTGAGCTCTAAAATGCTTGGGATGCTTTTGCTTCCTTTCAGTGAAATTGTCAGGAAGGAGGCACTGCTAAAAAGGAGGCATAATTGAAATGTAAAGCTTTGGCTGGAGGTCTGCTACACTGCAGGGCTTCATGCACAGTGGCAGACCTTCAGCCACACAGAGCCCTGTACCAAGGGGCACTGAGGTCCCTCCTGCAGGAATCCCATTGCCAGGAGCAATTTGACTCGTGCAGGAACCTCACAGAGGAGTGGCAGAAGTCACCTCTTGGAAGGGCCAACTGGACTTTCTGTGAGAGTAGTGTAATACACTGTGGAAGTACGTGTTATAATGGACCATGTGTGACCTAAAAGATCCTTTCTACCCATTTTCTGTGATGCAGGTACTGAACCATGAATACCCCATGACACTAAATCCACACTACCAGGCAAAAGGCTACATTTTAAATTGCTTATTTGATGATCAAACAATTTCTGTGCCTGATAGTGTCTCTGACAGTGAAAGGCAACAGAATAACTTAATTAAAAAGCTAAAGCAAAGCGCTAATAATACATGTTATCTCACCAAAACCACAGTTGTCTCCCCTGCTGCTGTAGGATTTGCCAAAAAAATAAAAAGCCATAGAATAATGGATTAGAAATGCTTTCCAGCCTTCCAGCTTTAGGCAATGCATTACCAAAATATGATTCTTAATAGGAATATTGTGAGGAGCATCATCATTTAGGAACCGTGCCAGCAGGCACTGGATTAATCTTTTTTTTTGTTGTTATCAATGCAGGCTGGCAGTACTTCTCTCCAGATGTACCATTTGGCACATTAAACAGTTCTTTTCTTAGAAGGGAAACCTATGGTTTCGCCATGTAATGCAAAACACCAATGGAATCACTACATAAGCAAAATGCCAGTAATGGTACAGTGGTCCAGCCACAAACATTGGTATGTTAATTTTGTTTTATTTTTCCCAGTGTGTCATCTGTAGTGCTGTATTTTGTACCAGGACTATGGCTGGGCAGTTTAGTATCAGATTTTAAAGTGTGTTTTCAGTGAGAGGTTTAAACTAGGAAACTAATGGTTGGGGGGGGTGTTCCTACTTAATATGAATCTAACTATCATTTTAGATTGATTTTAGAGACGAGGCCAAATTTCCCCCTCAGTTATAGCTGTTCTACCTTTTGGTAATGGTATTCAAATACACTGGCAAGCAAGTGGGCTGTGGCTTATACTTGCCATTGCTTCCTAAGATTAACTAGACCTTCAATTAAGGTTCTGATTTATTAGTAAGAAGGTTAATATAATTATAGCATATTCGGTTTGTATATGGAAGGCAGTGACTGGCCTTCTGTGCTGCCTTAGTTCTCTCATGGATCATCACCAGTCCTCGCAGAGGCAGCTGTATTAGCTCTTATGTGGCATTTGTTGTATTTCAAATTACTTTCTGAATTTGTTCTATCCTACTGACATTCTATGGAAAGGAAAAAAGTTGCAAAACTACTTGTTTTCAGTCCCTCTGTGTTTCTGGGAGCAGCAGAAGTTGGGAGGGGTGACATATGGAGGGGTTTTCTCTGTGTCCCTCTGGGTTTGCATGCCAAAGCAGAACATGAGTTGTTCCTTTTTACACTTGACTTTTCTAGATGAGGATGGGGTTTAACCTACCATTTCTTGTGTAGACCTTGTTCAGGGCATCCAAGGTGTTTGGCCTAAGCTGGCTTGCTTTTAGACACTTCTTTTGTGAGCTGGGTTCTGTTTTGTCACCCCTCCTACCTCAAGGTATCCCAGAGCATGTTCCTCTTTCCTGCCACTGTTGCCCTGCTGTAACAGGTCTGATGCCATGAGCCTTGTTTCTGGTTTAGAACGCACTTGTGGCCCTGCTCTCTCATCAACTAGCCCAAACCACAGTGGGTGATAGGCTGCATTCCAAGGAGTGAGTGCATGCCCTGCACTCCTTGGGGCAGTCCTGCTTCTTGCCACTTTAGATCTGAGGGCTGGTCATTGGGAATTGTCTCCAGATGATCAGTTAGAGAGTCGGGATGGTAAGAAATGCTTTTTCACCTTGCACAAATGGTGACATTAGTGTAATTTGCTTGTCTGGTGAAGGACAGCAAAGAAGGAAGTACATGCCTCACTTCACTGTGCCACTATACACTGACTATTGATGTGTATTACAGAGTTCGTTCCCACTGGCAGGCCTACCCTTTCCCATCTGAAGGTTTCTGAAGGATATCTGCACTTCGTGTGTAACATTTCCCATTCCCTGTATGAAAAGGTGCAGCACTTCCTATGGGATGAACAGCAGAACTGCCTTCTTCCTGGCTTTGAGGCCAAGGGAGAAAAAGGAGGTTGGCTGAGCAAGGAACACATTTTTCCTTAGCAGGGCTGCTCTTTGCACCAGGGACAGGTTGTCACCTTGGGGAGAGAGCTGTGACACACTGCCCAGCCTGGCTGCCCAGCCCCACTCCTGGCTTGGGTCCCCTGGGATTTTTCTGTTTGTTGTAACAAATAGCCTGTAATTCAAGCCCTCTGTAGGTGGGGTCAGACTCTGCTCCATAGTTTCGGTAGATAGCAGGTTTCTTTCTACTTAATATGACAGGTGTTTAGTTTTTAACTGACTCCTGCCATTCACCAGAAGTCTCACCTTTCCTCCTCCCAAGTTAAACATGTCAGTTCTGGCTTTTGCCTGTCCACACAGTGAGAAAATGACAATTTCTGATTACCCCCTCCCCTCTAAAAAGCAGTGGAAGATGAATAGTTTAAAAAAAAAAAAAAAGGTGATTTCTCTCCAAGATTCTGCCTAAATTGGGTGGTGTGGCCTTTCCAGTTTGATTAACTCAGTAATTAAAAATGACCAGGTGAGGCAGGGCAGTCACTTTCTTCTGGTTTGGTTTCTTCTGTCCCATGAAAGCTAGGAAATAATGCAAGGAAGGCACTTAGTTGTGAGAACACTTTCCCTCTCCTGTTGATTCAGTTCCTAAAATCTAATCATGTTTTAAACCCCCAAGAAGAGGAACAAGCAAAGTATCGTTATTTCCCTTCTGGAGGATTTCTGCAAGGAAGCTGATCCTCAGTCCCAGTCTGCCACAGAGTAAAGAGGACAGTGCTAATTCTGTGTCCTGTTCTCCTTTTTCTGTTCTAATTGTGTCTTTTCTCTCTGCATCAGAAGAGCTGGGGCAGAACATGGCTGTGACTGTTTGCAGCTGCCCTTGGAGCTGGAGTGGAGGGAGTCCCCCCTGTGCTGCCCGGAGCTCGGCCGTGCTGGGGGAGCGTCAGCCCAAAGGGATGTGCAAGGTAAACTGCTTTTAAAAGGTCACTGGCTGGGCCTTTCAAATCATGTTTAGGGTTCTCTCACCCCCATTTGTGTTGCAGAAAGTGATCCCCTCCTATCTGTAGGGTGCCTGGGGTGTGGGGTCTGAGATTACTGTGGGACTCTTTCTTCTGTGAGGCAAATCTGTTAAATACAGTGAAAGTGTGAAGTGGGGTGTGAATGTGACTCACAGCCCTGGCACTGCTTTACTCACCAGTCTGCTATGAGCAAGTGTCCACCAAAGAAACGTGGATTGGGCAATCAGCCTGTGTAAGATGGCACACCAGCTACTCTGCATGTTTGCTGTATTTTTCATAAGACTTGGGTAACTGAACTTCACATACTCTCCATTCCAAAGTTCATTCCATTTCTTAGTACTTTTCAGCTAGAGGTGAATTTTCACACCTGGCTGTCATCCAAATTGCATGCTGAAGGCATTTTTGAGGAAACTTGAAGTTTTAGAGTGTTAATAAAGTGTTGCCTGCTAAAATAAAGCCAGATTGGTTCAACATTAATGTTAAAGAGTATGTAAATAGTAAAGGCTGAAATGTCAAAACAAATATAGATAATTTAAAAATATCACTCTATGCTCAAGGTTTGTTGGTGACATTTCAAGAGCTATTTTGTAATTTTTCTATTAAAAATTATGCACTGCCATATGCTGAATATGTCAAGCTTCCCTTCTACTGCTGTTGTTTGTGTGTCAGAGGATTCTTCTGTAGTCATACAGAATCACATATTATGTCCTTGTCCTTCAAGATCTTCCTTGAGCCTGCACCTCAGGAATGCCTACAGTTTTGTATGCAGCTTGTTGCAGGTACCTCTACAAGGCTGTTCTCCTTTGTCCCTGTTTCCCTTTTGGCTTTTTACCTGTCTGCCTGAATCTCTGTCTTCTCTCTTTATATGGAAGTTCTCTGAGGCAAGAAGCGAATTGACCTTCTAGGTGCATACAGCACCTCAGTCCTTGCCCATAATGAGTGCTCCCTCTCTATACATCCTACAGCGGATGGGATTTCCTGGGAAGAGTGAGTCCTTTCCTTAGGAGAGGAGTTAGGTTGGTCTTTTATAAGATCTGTCTTCTAGCTTAGTTATTTATTTGGTATGCTGTTAGAGCTTTGGCATCAATCAGTGCCCCCTTTACAAGAGATGGTGAGCTCATTGGTGGGACACACTGCAGGCTTTTCCCTTTTCCTCACACCCTTCCACATGCTTTTGTCCAAAACCCTCCAGGCTGTTGGCACCGTGTGCAAAATGGGAATGTTGATGCTTTGTCCTTTGGGATCAGGAGAGGCCATTTCATGGAGACTTGCACAAAGATGGAAAGGAGAATGATTCTGGTGCTGATTCCTGACCCACCGAGATCCAGTGGGTACATGAAGATGTATTAGGAAGGAAACTGGGTGTCAATAACACCAAGACAACCCTGACCACTTTTTTCAAGATGTCTTAGAGAGCATGTAAAATTCAACTTCATACCAGTTTTAATTCACTTTCATACTGTTGGGCTCCACTTTAATGTCAAAAGCAACCCTTGAGTGAGGTTGGATTTAATGTAAAGAATAGCATTATGTCATCAGAAAGGAAAGTGCTGCTTAACCACTAATATATTTTAAATCTTTTTCTGAGTAGATGTGTTGCTAGTTATACTATATAAATTTAAGAGTGGAAATTTGGTTTCTCCATCATCATGGCTTGCATGTCTAATATTTCTCACTGGGCTTTGGAGTGCAGCCCAAGTGCAGCTCTCCCTGGAAATTTCTTTTTAATCTAATCCCATTCTCTAGTTAAACATTTCAAATGAAATATACTGAGGAAGAAAAAGAGGACTACTTTGTTTGGAGTGCTCTATAGGCAGAAGATTGCCTGAGGACTTCCTTATGGACTGTACCTTATCTTGCTGTGTGTCCAGTAACTGATGGAGTTGGAGTGTAGGTACCTCAAGCTCTGTTTGATTTTCTTTCTTTCCTTTTTTTTTTTTCATCTCCAACTACATGGATTAGAGCTATAAAGATGTTGGTCTAAGTCATAAGAGTTTTGGAGACCGGAAATACTTGATTTCAGTAGTTGAATTTAAAGTTATCTGAAGGTAAATATCTCTTATCTGGACGGTGTGTAAATTGTGTATTCATCTGATTTCCTTTCCTTACTGGATATCATTTTCTCTTGGTGAGTGGTTCATTTGGCTTCCTAAGCAGAACTAGACAAACTCCTAAATCACTTCATGCTTTCAGTGAGCTGTGTCCCCTTTCTTTTCTATTTTCTTTAATCGTTCTTTTCATGCTTCCGGAACAATTGAGCTGAAAGATTGCGAAACTTTTCGTATCCTGGTCTGTGTGCTTGTCCCAAACCTCATACCTTGAAATAGTGTGTTTGATATTCAGCTGCCATCACTGTAATATTGCATGCTTTGAGCTTTGGGATTTCTAACGTGACTGCAAACATTACCTTTCTAATGATACTTTGTGTTGGATTAAAGGGTGCAAACACTGTATTGTGAGTACTGGAGTTATGTGCCCTTACCAGTCTGGGGACCTGTAACCTACTGCTGGGAATTCCAAGTTAGGTTTCCTAAAGATAATACCTTGCTGCAACTCTCCACTAAATGGCTGCTGTCTTTTGCTAAATAGTTTGTGTAGAGCCCAAAGCTGACTAAATACCAATGACAGCCTCACTTTTCAAAAAGGATGTGTGTGATGGGTACTACACTTGTTGTATGGGTGTTTTTGCGAGTACCACGTGTGGATATTTGTTCTAATAGCCAGTCATTATAGCAATAACTACCAGTAACATATCAGTTAATTCAGTGCTTTCCAGAGGACATTTCTGTGCTGAAAAATCGTTCTGAAAAAATGTCACCTTTCCTCCATACCATTATCGCTCCATAACACAGCATTATCAGCAAATACCTGATAACATATCCCTATATGCTTGCTGTTGTGAAAGAATTAATATTTATACTTTTATTGCTGCAAGCTTTGCCAGAGAGTCTCCGTTTGGGAGTAAGTCTTGGCATTGTTAACTATTTTGCTACCGTGGGTGCAAATCCTGCCTTTGACATCCCCTTGTTCTGCCTTATTGGAAACACACTGAGTAGGAGGCAGGGTCTGGCTCCCAGGATCTCTGTTCCCGGGGCTGCCAGGTAGGCAAAGTGAAACCCAGGGTGTCTCCAGCAGAGTCCAGGCTGACTTTGCTCAGCTTGGCCACTGTGAGTACTGTGTTGCTCAGCAAACTGGTGTGAGGAAGGATTGATGCACTAGTGTTGCTGGGGTGACTGTGTGCTGTATGGTCATACAATTAAAAATGTTTAAAAAACAGTGTATTCTCCCAGAAGCACTAACTGGATCTTCTTGCAGTCCCTACCTGATCTCTGCATGTGCAAACCTGCCAGTTCTGCACTTATCCCAGGAAACGCTGCATGGAGACACTTGTTTCCATCCCTGTTCTTGAGGCCCTTTCAGAGCTATTAAATTAAGAGGCTGGCATGTCCTCCTTTGAAATCCCAAATGGGGGATGGAAGAAGGAGGTGGAAGTTCAGTACCATCCTCATGCATCTCAAAGAATTTGAAAGCCAAAGGAATTCAGAGGGATTACAGCAGCAAAGGACGTAAGTGCAGTCTCAAAATCAGGTGAAACTACCAGTGCTTTAAAGATCTCTCTTAAAACTCTGACTATGCTGATGTGTTGATTTACCAGCAGAGGAGCTGTGAAAAGCCTCATTTTCCATGGCAGCCAAATGAAAAAATGGGGTCAACCCTCCAGTTCTGTGGGCTTTTGTGCTATTTTTTCTACATTATGTAAGGGATGGTCTCCACTGCTGGATGGCCTTCCTGAATAGGAATATTGATACACGTCTGGTGAGTTGAGAGAGTGATTCACTCTTTGGTGGCATTTGTGCAGTCCCCCCTGCCAAAGCTGTGCAGCTGCTTTGTATTTCATTTTGGGAATACTGTTTCCTCGAAACCAGTGTTTGGAATCCAGTGTGTAACTTGGAGAGGGGGAGGATGTCCTCAATTTCATTAAAATCACATCCAGGACTTTAGTGGAGGAAAAGGCTTGGAGAAAGGGAAGAAGCCAGGGTGCTAGTAATGAAAACATTAGGTTCCTTGCAGAGCACCACTTTCCTTGCAAGGCAAACACCAAAAAGAGGAAGAAGCAATTCCTGGGTTTCTGATTTCTGTGGCCCTTTGAGCTGATTTGCAGCCGTGAGAAAGGTGCCAATATCTTTGTATTGTTTGGCAGGGAAAAGATTACCTTGTAACTCATCTTGTCTGGCTATGGCCTGGCACTGGATCATGACCAGGTTGATGGCAGCCTGACAGTTTTAAAAGAATATGTTGGCATTTTATGAAAAGGGAAGTTATTACACTTGAAAGGAAGTAAAAACAAAAACAGAAAACCTACGCTTGTCAGTTTTATGGCAGAGGCAGTAAAAATTCTGGCATGTTACTTCAGCCAACCCCTGCAACAAATTAGTGAACTAAATTGATTACAAAATCAAAGATGAATTTACATAAGCATTTGTGTTTTAGTTACCCTGCTCCTACAGTGTGTCAGACACTCAAAAGAGTCAACCCCATGCCCCTTACAGTTAAAATTAGTTTACAGCCTAAATTTAGATGTGTAGCAGCAAGAAGGGAGCATGGAAAGAAAAGAAGAGCATGGGAAGGGATGGGACCTCCTGGGTCACTGGCTCCAGTCCCTCCCAGTCTCAGGAAACCACATTGTCCTACCCTCTTTCAGGCTGTGTTATGGTCTTCTGACATACTGTTGGGTGATACAAAAGATGGGGTTAAATTTACAGATTTGTCCCAGCTCAGTATAGTTTTTCTCTGTCTCCGTTAACTGTGGGATTGGACCCACGCTGAGGCTTATCACAAGTTCCTGCTGGTGGCTGTGTTTTACAGCCAGGAGATGTGCCAGGGAGCTGGGGACTGTGCAGGCAAAGGCAGCAGCCTTAGTGAGCAGAGCATGAGCAATGAGGAGGATTTGGAGTCGCTCTTCCAGCAGCCAGGAGGAGCACGAAGTCAGAAAATAAGGTTTCCAAGCGTTATTTCTCTTTTTCTTCCCAAGCTGTTGTCAGAGGAGTGAAAGTGGGACACTTCACCCTGGGAATGCCTAACCTGCAGAGAGCCTAGGGTGAGCCAAGGAGGCTTGGTGCGGGGGACAGGGGGAGCTGGTGCCCGAGGAGCCCCAGGCTGTGTGGGTGGGTAGCTTTCCATTCCCACACTAGACTGAGTATTCCTCAGTTGTGCTCTACGCCACCCCTGGGAACCCTGTCCCGTGCCATCCTTCAAAACCCTTCCACCAGTACCTTGCCCTTCATGCTCCTGTGGGAGCTCAGCCTGTGAATGAGGTGTGAAAAGAAGGGTTCCCTGCAGAGTGCCATGGCCTCGAAAGCAGTTGTGAACTATTTTGCTGTGTCAGTCAGAACTGTGAACTGGGGTTTCACTCACAGAGGGATGAGGAGAGTCCCTGCACTACAGCGTGTTTTTACTTTAGCCAAAGCAAACGCTGCAACCAGCCTTCTTCTTGTGAGCAGAAAGAACCAAGCAATCTGCCTGGATGGAAGGCTCGGTGCTGTGGGGAGGCCTAGAGCTGTGAGCAGTGCAGGGGAAGCCCAGTGATGTGGGCTGGAGGTTGACAGCACGAGGTACCTCCGTCACAACTGCACCCCAGAGTGGAGACACAGAGGGATCTGTCCCTGCTGGCAAGAGGGAGGCCTTGGCCAAAGGGATCTGCTTTTCTCAATGCCTGTTGAGATTTTTGAGTATCCAATGTGATTGCCTGGGGAGATGCACATCATCTTCAGATTGGCAGTGATTTTCTACAACAAGAGTGGCCAGAGAATCTGTACCACCTCTGGCTCCGTCCCCACAGTCCTGCATCCTCTGGGGAGTGCATCCTTGTGTTCTGGGCCTGGCAGCTCTTTATTCTGCTGCAGGACAGGACTTCTGCCATGCCTGCAGCTGCAGAGCAAAGCAGTCGTTGCCCCATGGCAGTTATTCTGCCCAAACAGCTCTGGTGTCTCCCGTTCAGATAAAACTGAACAAGTTTAAATACATTTTCTTTAGATGCTGAATACAAAGTCAGTTGTGTTTGGTTTTGAACTCAGTGTAGGAAGCGTATTTTTGGTATGCTCAGACTCATTAAGGGATTTTAGGCCTAAGGACTCCTCCTAGTATTTAATTCCCAAACAGGCTTTTCCATGGGATAAGAATGAAACCTCTCCTTCCTGATGAGAAGGTTTCAGTCCTGTGCAAGCAGAGCGGGAAAACTTTAGGTACTTAGATATTTTTTTTACTGAAAAATGTTTTGCCTAGTCACTGTGTTTGTGAAAGATGTGCTCAGATTCTGAGCCCAAATTTCACCTTGGGAACATTAGATGCTTATATTCAGACTTTGCTCTTTATTGTGAGTTTGGCAGGAAAGGAAGAGAGTGGCTGGTCCTTAGTGTCTCTGTGTCTAATTCCTGTTCTACAGATGGGAAATTCAGAACACTTCTTAACCATTCAAGAGTATTGTTTAGATAAATATTTGAGCAAACAAATAGCACAGTGATGTAGGAGTCACACATACACTGAAATGTGGTGAGCACTCCTTCTTACACTGTCAGAATCTCTAGTTGCTTCACGAAACCAAAGGCGAGTGGAAGAATTGGAGCTGCCATTTCAAACTGAGATTTGCATAAAACTGTGTTGAAATTCCTTCTTGGGAATTTCCGCAAAAGGAATTTCTGCAAAGCTTGTTGTTAAGGAAGAAAGTGGGCTAATTTTTGCTTTGAAGCTCCTAAGAAGAACTAAACCAAAAATAAATGAGGTTTACTTGCAGAGCTCTACCACCCACCATTATCTGTGTGTTAGTCAGTCAGTCAGCTGTGTGTCTGTGTGATGAAATATGGCTGAGACCAGGAAGAGCTGGGGATAAGGATGGGAATTGCCTGCCTTGCTGCTCCAGAATTCCATCAAGCTGTTCAAATAAAGGGGAGCTGGGACAATGTAACAGCTGGCCAAGATGAGCATGGGAAAGAAAAATATGGTGACAGGAGATGCAGAAGTGACTTGGTGTGTTGGCATTCCTTTCTTTTCAGGGCACAGCCATGTGAAAGGGCTTGTCACCAACAGAAAGACCCTCTCACATTCTATTGTGGTGAAACTTTCAGCCCCCAGATAATACCCCAAGTTGTGTGTTTCCAGATGTAATTGGTGTGTGCACATTCTCACACCGCGGGAATGTCGCTCGGTCTCCTCACCCCACGGCCTCGGCGGCTCACATCTGCTGCTCTGTTCGGGCACAGGCTTGGGTGGTGCTTATTTTATATTTTCAAATGCATGTGTCTGGTAAATTGCTTTTTCCTTCTACGTATATGCAGACTGAGGTCCTTCTTTTGTGGTTGATTGATTGACTGAAACTCATTGATAAATCTTTAAACTGAGAAGGTTTTCTCAATTTCCATAGACTGCACTAGGGGATTAGGAATCTCACCTTGCACCTCTGAATGTCTAAGCTCAAACTTTAGTTTAGTGTAAGCAAAGCTAATTCCCAGGGAAAAATGGAACAAAGGAAGAAAATAATAGTATTTCTAAGGAAAAAAATGTAATATACAATAGGGGGCTTTATCCATCTGTATTCAACATAAAACCCTGTGTTGATCAGGGGCTTTGTGAAAAGTTGATTTTCCAGTTCAGCAAAACTTTTTGAAAAAACATTTGCTTCAGGTCAACTGCAGCTAGTTTCCCTCCCTCTCCCTCATTAAAATGAAAAGCAAGTGTTCCCACTTCATTCAGCCTTGAATGACCTGTTTGATCTAAAGCAGAGCTTCTCCCAGAGCTCGGTCCTGGTCACCGGACTCAGGAGGATTCTTAATTTCTGTCGTTGCAATGCACTGGAGGTCACACATAATTAGGCCCCAAAACAAGGAACTCAATCCAGGGTCCCAGGCCTAGATGGATGTCTAACTAATGGAATGTCATAGCTTGTGGGATAGGTTTTTATCAGCTTCTTGAGAGGAGCAGCTTTATATCAGATACCTGTTGGGCCATGGAGTGAGAGAGGAGGTTGATCTGGAGCTGATGGAAAGGGAAAGTGCATCTGTGCTGGGCAATGGTGAGGCCACACCTCAAATACTGGGTTTAGTTTTGGACTCCTCGTGACAAAAGACATTGAGGGGCTGAAGAATGTCCAGAGAAGGGAATGGAGCTGGGAAGGGGTCTGGAGCACCAGGAGTGGCTGAGAGAGCTGGGGGGGCTCAGCCTGGAAAAAAGGGGGTTGTGATTGGCCTCTTCTCCCAGATAACATGGGACAGAACAAGAGGAAACAGCCTCAAGGTGCACCAAGGGAGGTTTAGGTTGGATATTAGGTTGGATATTGGTGAATTTTATTACAATGTGTTTCACTTTTCAGTCCAGTGAACTTCAATGCTAGAAGAGTGGATTCAAAAATGGAAGGGAGAAGGGGCAGTGTCTCAAGGAGTGCGTTCAACCCTTAGCCTTAGGAATAGTGTCCTGGAGTGTCAGAGCTCACAGAGCAGGCAAACAACATTTTTATGGTCCTTTTTGAAAAATCTGCCTTCTGCAAATTTGGCAGAGAGAACTCTGCTCATCTTCATGATGCTGAGGTGGTCTTGTCACATGCAGGTCCTTTGCTGTAGATGCTTTGGGGCTTGATAATGTGCCTGAGAAGGTATGAGGTCATACCCTGAGCTCATACCATCTGTTTAACAGATGGATGTGTATGGTAAGGCTGACAGTTAAAAACCTGGCTCCACTTAGGTCAGTGGTATCAAGATTTTACCCATGATTGGAGGGGGAGGAGGAAAAAAGTGTCCAAAGATAGGTTTCCTAAATGGCTGCTGGGAAAGCCTGTAGGCTCAGAGCTGGGCTTATTTACTGTTCTGGCCTTTGGCTGATAGTTACTTGTGCTTGGCCCTTGGCAGTGTTGGATCTCTGTGTCTCAGTCTGTGTGTTTGTTGGTGCAGACTGTTGAACGATAGGGAAGAAGAGCAGACCTTATTTCTTAACTGTGACCATTACAAGCTTAGGTGGTACTGACCAGAGTCCTGCCTGTCCATACTGTTCTGGAAGGAATGTAGCACAAGTATCAATCAGTTTATCAGTAGGTCCAGATGTTCTGTTTGCTGCACTAGGCCAAATGGTTGGGTTGTTTTCTTGTTGGCTGAATTTCTCTCTCTCTTTTTTTTTTTTCTCTTTTCTTTTCTTTAAACTCCCAACAACACACAAATCATCCCTGTATTTCTTTAACCCACAGAATACAATTGTTCTACCCTCACTGAAATGTTAAAAGTAGTTTGTGGACTGGAGCACGGCTGGGTGGGGCACTGTTCAGTTCCCAGCCTAAAATCCAGACTAAAATACAGTCCTTGACAGATTAAATCCAGCTGTTGCACAGGTGCACTGGGGCTGAGCAGCAAGGAAGTTTACCCACTTATAAACTTCTGCCTGTGTGCGTCATTAAACCAAGATATTTTTGGATCTCAACTCTATACTTCTTGGTTTTTTGATTAGGCAAGGCAAGTGGTCTTCATTAAAGCCACAGACAGCAGAATGGTTTCATCTAAATTCTTCCCTGTAATTGCAGAAAGACAAACACAAGTATCATAACACTCTGATTCCTCCCTATCCATCTCTTTTAGCCACTCTTATCATATGGAATAAAGCCTACAAAATCCGAATTGTTTGTCTAATCTGACACTTCAACATCCAGTCTGCACTGAAATAGTACGTGTGGAGTTACATTTCATAGATGTTTGTCATTGGCTCTTAAAGAGCTACAGTATCACACTGGGAATCTGGTAAAGGTCTAGAGATAAATCCTATGAGGAGCGGCTGAGGGAGCTGGGGGGGCTCAGCCTGGANAGGAGCGGCTGAGGGAGCTGGGGGGGCTCAGCCTGGAGCAAAGGAGGCTCAGGGGGGACCTTCTGGCTCTGCAACCCCCTGACAGGAGGGGGGAGCCGGGGGTGGGTCGGGCTCTGCTGCCAGGGAACAAGGGACAGGAGGAGAGGGAACGGCCTCAGGCTGTGCCAGGGGAGGGTCAGGTGGGACATCAGGAGGAATTTCCTCATGGAAAGGGTGGTCAGGCCTTGGCAGGGGCTGCCCAGGGAGGTTTGGAGTGCCCAGCCCTGGAGGTGTCCTAGGAAGGCCTGGCCGTGGCACTCAGTGCTCTGGGCTGGGGGACAAGGTGGGCATCGGGCACAGAGGGGACTTGATGGTCAGGGAGGGCTTTTCCAACCTAAAGGAATCTATGGAATGGTCTAGGGAGTTAATTTAGTAGAACAGTTGTTTAGAATACTGTGTCTATCTGAGCAAATCCACTTGCAGGTCCATTCTCTTGCCTTTGCAGTGTTCTGTTGGGTAAATCAATTGTGCAGTAAACAATTTCTTTATGGCTGGGAAATAGTGAGTACAGTGCATAACTTACATTAATGGGGGCATTCATTAAGTGCCACTTGTATTTTCCCCCAGCCCCCTCCCAGGTTCCAGCTGTCAGGGGCACAGAGGCTCAGTCTGCACTCCTGTTCTTCACAGCTACTGACACAGGCATTGGCCATGGATTTATCTGATGCCTTTTTTTATCTCAATCCCAAGACCTCCTGGTTATATTACAGTTACTGGGATTGGACCAGCTGCTATAAATGCCTCGAGCTGATCCTTGATGTTTCTGGGTGGACATCAGCAAACATGGAAGTTAAACTCTGTAGAACCTTCTCTCTTGCCATGACGAGGCTTTTAAGAGCCTTTTGTTTTAAGGATATTTTACTTGTTTACCATGTTCTGCTTTCTTAGGTTCCCATTTTAAAACAGAACGATGAAAAAACCTTTTCACCTCTAGTTTAAAACCGTATGTGTACTTTTTGGAAAGCTGGTGGAAAGTCCTTTTAGTCCTTGGGTCACAGGGAAGCCCTTTCACTGATGGCATCTGCAGCTTTGGAACACCTGAACTGAGAAACTTGGGCTTAGCATCTGCCTACAAAGGGAGTGTTTCTACTTCTTTTTGTGCCATTGTGTTTGCCGGGAAGCTGAGAAGGAATTTCTTTTTCTGTGTGTGTGATTGAAGGAGAAGAGGGCCACAGGAG